AAGGCACCAAAAGCATACATTAAAGCAACTATTAATGGCCTGTTTTGAAGCTGACACATTTGAATAATCTGATAAATGTCTAAATATACTGTCTTACACAAAATACACATGGAAGAAATAAACCAAGGGTATAAAGGAGTGCATTTCAAATAACAATAAGCATAAGCAGAAGTGTCCAAAAGAATCTTATTAGAAGATAAATACACCCATAATTACACATACATTGACATTCTCATATCCCTATGCTCATCTTGACCATGTCTACGAATGTGAACAAGTATAACTAAACTTCTGGTTTCCTTTTATTTGGTCAATATGATAGAAAGTACTCAGCTTAGATAAACCTATTATGTGGGCTTTATTAGAAGGCAACTAGGTTCTTAAACTACCAATGATTCTTTACAAATCAACCTCCTATTCAAATATGTCCTTTTCTAAAATGTGACATGTAAAAATAGCACAAGTGTAGCCTCTACATTGACTAAGCATGACTCAGGGGATGCAACCATTAAGCACTTTTCCCCTCCATTTGCATTTATTCACTGGGGCTAGTTCTTTCTCCTACTCCTGGATTAAAAAAATAATAAAAAATAAAAAATTCTTGTAATTCTGATCACTGTCACTTGAGTTTCTCCAGTGAGTAATTAAAATGTTCAGTGTCATTTAATAGTCAGAACTCTGAACTTTCCCACTTTTTGACCATCTCTAGGTTGGGAACCTTGAAGTCAAGAAGGAAGAGTACCTAGTCAGTTTCCTCTCTGCCTGTTTCTGTATCTCTTCTCTCAGAATTTCTGACAACTCCAGGATTGAAACAGAGAAAGTGAGAAGGGAGGTAAACTGGGAACAAAAGGCTGTCACTTGACAGATACTCTCACACACTGGCATGGCGCTCTCTGCAGACAGCAGGAGCGTCATATGAATTGTCCTCTTGCGCCCACTTTGTGGGCTTCTCTGGAGACCCATCCAGCCTGTGACTGGGGCCTTCTCACCTTCCTTTGACATGGGTAAGACACAGTCCTCCAGCTCTATGCTTGCTCCTCTGCAGTCCCCAGGCATCTGACCAGACCCCTAGCTCTGTCCCTGGTAAGTTTTTTCAGCCATCCAGAAAGCTTTCTTAGAAAAGCTCTACAAGACACCCTCCCAACTCTCTGTCCACCTCTCAGTCTGTTTGGGCTGCCATAACAAAATACCACAGACTGTTTATTTAATAAACATAATAGTTCATAGTTCTCGAGGCTGGGAAGTATAAGACCATGGCACTGGCAGATCTGGTGTGCTGGCTGTAAGGGTCCTCTTCCGATTCACAGAAAGTGACTCGTTAGTGTGTCCTCCGATGGTGGAAGGACTAGGGAGCTCTGTGTGTCTTATTCATCCCATTCATGTGGGCTCCATCTTCAGGACTTAAACCCCTTTCAAAGGCCCCACCTCCTAATATCACCACATTGGCTATCTGGATTTCAACATAATGAATTTTGGGAGAGACACAAACATTCAAACATAGTGAATAGTGATCTCTCTCTCTCTCATTCATTCATTTACTGAGTCCCCACCCTTCCCCACCTATACACAATTTCTGCCTGGATAGAGTCCACAGAAGCAAACTTTGCCATAGGCCACCCAGAACAACCAATATTTCTTTTGCATTTTTAATCAGCAATAACCAGTCCATGTCTCATCACTCAGATTTCTCAGGTAGGAGTCACTTTGTGTGAGTCAGATATCAAGTTCTTCCAAATAGATCTATTCAACTCTTTTCTCACAGGACCTGAAGCTTCCTCATTAAGAAGAGATCGGGACTTCCAACACCACTAATAGCTCCTTCCAAAAATCCTCTTTTCCACTTCCTATTTCTTATCATCTCCAGCCTCTCATAGACTACAATAAGGTATTTATTTCAAGATTATATATTACCTTTTTCTCCACTAAGTTCTGAATGCTGGTCCTAATTAGAAATGTAGAATCAATTGTCTTCAAGCCTCCGCTGGAACAGAGACATCTATAGTGATAATTTAACATTGTACAGTATCTGGTTTTGATATAAGCTGTCATTTATTTAAAATCATAACATAGCCTATCCTGAGTGATAATATAAAATAGTATTGGATAATTATAATCTAAATAAGCATTATATGCATAATGGCATGAAAAATTTAAATGATAAGTTAAATGGTTTTTAAAATGGTAAGATGGCTTTTAAAATACATAATATAATTGATTAGTAAAACAGATCTGCTCCTCAGTTACTCATCCATTCATTTCATCTCTTAGAAAAATGCTTATTCAATGCCTGCTAGACAGAATCTAATGGTGAGACAAGTTTGGCCAATTTCTTCATGGAATGTACAGTCTAATCTATTATAAAAAGAATATATTTCAGGATGCTTGGAGAGAACTGACATAATCTTAGAGCATAGGCAGGGATGGAGAACCAAGAGAGAAGAGAGACAGCAGTTCGTGAACAAAACAGTGGCCATCAAGTGAGAACCCAAAATTGATAATAAATTTATGAACATTAGCAGTAGGACCTGTCATGTACAGAGTTAATGCAAAAAAAGGCCTATGGTTAGCATGACTAATAGGATGGCTGTCATTGGTTGAGGAACTGTTATTTGGAGCAAGTAAATATAAACATATTTATGCCAAATGTATTTTTGAAGAAAAGATCTATTATTTCAATAAGGGAAAAAAAAAGTGTGGTTATGTGGTGGAGCATAATTGTGAATCTTTGTCCAACCACTGAATAATGCTTGGAAATATAATTGCTGGAGGTTATATTTTTGTAGCTAGCTTTGAAAAATATATTTTGTTGATTTTTCGATTTTAAGAGGAAAATATAAGCTTTACTATCATGCAACTTTTATTCTGAGGAAAATAATAAATATTTTAATTACACATTTTAAATTTTAGAATCAGCTGTCTATTTGCAAAGAGGACATAAGCCAGTTTTTTTAAAGATATCTGCAATGCTGGGAAAAAAAGGCAAAGAAAATGAAAGGAAATAAGGAGAGAAAATAGATGTGTAGGTTAGTTAGCACACAGAATGCATGCCATTAAGTTCCTTATCATTTCAATATAAATTTGACTCTGAATTTACTAAAAGCAGAAGTAAATAGGGATATAAGGTATGGTTTGAGATTCCCTGTGTCCATAAATTAAAAGCTAAGCAATTTCTCAGGAAAAAATGTAATTATTCTTAATGTTAAGAAGAAATTAAACCCACAGATCCTTTTCCAGAAGACATTTTTGCAGTAGAATGTCCACAGTAGAGCTCTCAGTCACACAGTTTTATGGAGTTTTTTTTTTTCCTTCTTCTTCCCTCCCTCATTTTTCCTTTTTGTAATAATATCTCTGTGCCAGTTAGAACTATTTTCAACAGATCACCTGCCCTTCCCCTGCTCCAGAGAGCTAGCTAAACCCTTCAGGATGAGTTTCCCAAACTCTGTGTCAGCAGCCTTCCTGCTGGGTTCAGCCCATGGGACAACGAGGACACTGTACTTACTCTCTGTTTCCAGTGGTGTCTCCGGCAGAGGAAACATCCCACATCTCAGAAAGTTTCAGCTTCCACCAAGTCACCCTAACTCCCCCTGTGCCTCCAGCCTAGAGTTAATAATGGTTTTATTTTGTTGTTAATCTCTGGGTTGCCTCAGTGTCCCCTCATTTGCTTTTTAGTTTTTCACCACTGAAGGAATAATGACCCCACTTGAAATACCCTCTGCTTTAAATATTAAGGGAATTTTCTGTTACCATGGTTGAATCTTGACTGATACAATAACTCATAAGATAATGTCATATTTGAGTTCAATTCAATGTAAACAAAAAAATTGCATTTAGGGAAATACCAAGGGAAGTGTTATTGTCCACATACCACATGTCCAGGGATGCTTATGCAACATTGTAAGTGAATACCAGACACAGAATGGTACAGTGAACAAATTCCCATTAATCATTCAGATGTGATCTTCAGGAAGAGAATCATTATCCACCAATATCAATACACGTAATATTTCAGCACACATATTGAACAATGCACCTTTAGTGGACATGCTCCCTAAAGGATACCTAGAAATGCACATAAGCCAATATCTTGGCTTTAATAAGTCAGGGTAGCCTAGGAAGGATATCCTGGAGAAACAGTACCTCTCTCCCTCATCTACTTAAAAACAACATATACGATACAATGTACCCAAGACTGTCCTTTCTTGGCAAACACAGAATATATGTCAAAGCTAAAACTGAATTTCCCCTTCCAGTTCATCACTTCACTAAATATGTAAACTAGGGAATCCTTTAGAAGTCAACATATATGTCAATAATAAATCAAAATTTTCAAATCATCCACTAGATATATGACATCAGTAGAGCCTTCAAAGAACTCAGAATTAATGCCTGATAAAGAATATTTCCTTATCATTTAACTTAAAAATAAACACATTCCAGGTAGAGAGGTAATATACAAACTTACCTTAAAGAATGAGATGAGCTGTTAGGACTGTCTAATGAGTAGAACCCAATGTGTTTTGATAAAAATGAGCTCATTGGGAAGCTCAAGTGTGCAATAAACCAAATACTACCAGTGCTTCTCTTAGCTCCTGACCATAATGGTTACTGCAGCCCATAAAGGTTTATTTTATTCTGATGAATAAATTAAAAATTTCAATCATATGGCTAATGCTCTAGTTTTTATTATACCCCCAGCATCTCAGTCTTTGCTTTCCAATTTGCCCTACCCAGGCATCCCAAGACGGAGAATATGCAATGGCTGGAGTCTTTTAGTCTTCATAGTAGTTATTTTCTTATTATTAATTAATAAATCATAAAATTTGTAGTTTAGTATTACAAATCCAAAAATGTGCACACCCTCTGTGAAGGGTATACTGGTAAGTTGTTTCTCAGTGTAGAAGACTACAACCTTAAACCATGGCAAAATCACCAATTCAATACTACTCATGAGACTTCTTTCCCAGGAAAGCATCCCACCAGTATCCATTTCTTCTACCTACCGGAAAGATTTCTTAATGTCTTCTGCTTGGATTGTCTTGAGAATCTCTTGGTATAACTGAAGATCAAGTGTTTCTGAAGATGAAGCATCTGAAGGGCAATTTTTATGTGCATAATAGCCTATCAAAATTCCAAAAATAAATAAAATGACAGCTGTGCAAAATATTTTTAAAAGGCGGCAAAAGTTGCAGGTGTTGCTCTTTGGTGCAGATCTTGTATAATGGGTAACATAGTCAGACTCTTCTTGAAGTCGCTGAAACCTTCCTTTTGGTGAACTTGCTGGTTGAATGGACTCAAGATTGAGATCTGCAGTCTCTGAATTCTCCACGTTCTGATGCTCAGCACCATCTAACTGGAACTGATCAAAACCAGGCTCCTCCAGTTCCTTTTCCATGTCCCACTCTAAGTCAAGGGCAGTGGCTTGAAGGTCATCATTGTCTAAGTACTGAGAATGTCCTGGAGCTCTTTGATCTGCATTGACCTTCTGATAGGCCATCTTTCTACCTGTGAAAATAAATGAATTTTCTTAAAATAAACTGTGAAACTGTAAAAAGTAAACTTTACTTAATGTGGAGTTGGGAGGACAGAAAGGGGAGCTCTCATGCCCTACCTCTTGTTGTCAACTGCAGACCCCAACAGGAAGAAAGTGACCTGCATTCCCAGCCCAAAGAAACCTACCCTACCTCCTCACCAGGAAGAAGGAAAAATGACTCCTTGCCCAACAACAAGCTCACTCAGTAAGAAAACACCCCAACTCAGCCGATGAGAAACCATCACCACCCTGAACTCTCAGTTTCCTGCAGTGGACTCTTGTTCACAGCAGCCTCCCACCTTCCTCCTCTTCTTCATAAAGTCACATCCCTCTCCTTTGATCTTTGGACTTTCCTATGGTTCACCACAGCTTGTGTGTCCCAAATTGCAATTCATCTGCTATTCCCAAACAAATCCATTTTGCTGGTCAAATAACTGGCTGTTTTACTTTTAAGGTAAACAAGGCAAATGATAAAGAAAACCTACAAGGTGACAACAAAGGAAAAAAAGTAATCCTTATTAGGTATTCATAAAATTTTAATGATCATAATAGGAGAAATACATTGTCCCTTTGAAAAATCACATATTAGTTTATTATTTAGACTTATTTTTACTCTTGATGTTCATTACAGGAAAGGAAGACTAAAAGTAGAAGGTAGTTGTTGATGGAAAAGCTATGAGACAAGATACACACTTTTTTCTTTGAAGTTGAGAGAAAAAAAAGTCACAAATGAACAGTTGTATTGAGAATAATGTATTACAATGAAAGCAAAATCTAAGCTTACATATTTCAAAATCACTTTTAAGAAAAACTAAGGGAAGATTCAATAAAGCTATGATTTGGTAGGTTAAAAGGGAAAAAAAAAGTTCCTGGTATGATTTACATTGCCAGAAATATTTTTTAAAACAAAAATTTAGGATAATAATAGGCAGAACAATTAAATGAAATAATAATTCTATAGAAATACAAGAAGCAAAATATGGTATATTACAGTCATGATTTATCAAAAGGTTTGGAAAATTTTAAGGCCACCAACAAAGACCAAGATGTTCCAAGGAATTAGTGACATGAATTCACCTGGCTCATTAAACATTAAATAAAAGTCTTAGATGGCTTCCATCCATAGAGGGAAGCCTTTTGCCAGGAGAGGAGAGCTTGGTTTCAAAACCTTACTACAGGAGTGGCAGATGGAGGTTTTCCCCTGCACAGTTATGGATGACAGTGTGTTATATCCTGCAGAGTGGTATTAGGATAACTTGGCTAATTAACTACAAGTAGTCTTCTGTCTGTATTCAGTAACCCACTGGTGTAGTATGACTGCAGATTAAGAGTATTTATACTTAAATATTCTCTGTACTAGATTTGTCACCCCAGCTGGACTCCAAGGTCTCTCACTATGTTTTATGATTTCTCTATGTGCCCCACTGTGGTGGGTGAAGAACAGAGCTCAGCTTACAACTGATTAGCTAATTGCCTTAGGGCCAGTGGTTATCAAGTGAACTTTAATGAAAAAGATACAAACAAAGCCTCATAAAAGGAGCAGTATTATTCAGAAAATTATGGGTATACATAGCTCCAATACTAGCTGGCAGAAATGTCTATATAAATTTAAAATGTTCTGAACATTTGAGCTCAAATATAATTAAATATTAAATTTTTAAAAACAAAAATTATAATTCTGACCAGATTTGTCATCTGCTAGGATTTAATCTAACTCAGAGTTTCATTCTAACTCAGAGTTAACTCAATAAAGATCAGTATATTGCATGTCAGATACTAGGGTAGGCAATGAAGACAAATAGTTACTCAAGTAAAGAACAATGTAATCACAGAGACAAATACATGAATAAATAAGTCAAATAAAGTGTGCAAATTGCCAGGGAGAATGAGGGGTGATTGATTCTAGCAGAGAAAATGGGAAAGGATTCCCCAAGAAAGTTATCTCTGAGGTTTTCCCAGCAAGGGAGGCCTTAACTAGGGCATACCGAGGGTGTGAGTGGAAGGCATCCAGATGGGGAAATTCACAAACACGAGAATACAGGATGCATGGACCATCAGAAAGACCTAGAGTGATATGCTGCAGTTGAGGATGGAACAGATAAGCCAGAGATTCAGCTACAAAGCTAGGCAAGGGTGACCCTGGGCAAAAATGTTTAATTTCTCTGCAACCCAGAGTCTTCATCTATAAGATGGTCATGATAAATAAACCTTATAGTGTTGTCATTAGAATAAATTGAGACAGTGAACCTAAAACGTCCATTGAGTGTTGCTTAGGTTATACAGGTTTGAAGAGACATTTCTAGTATTAGAGGAGGGAGAACTGTCAAGGATTCTTGGAAGAAATGAGTTAAATACTGCAGAAGAAATTATATAATTCTGCAAAATATTGTGGAGAAGGGGAGGAGGTTACATAATACATACACATATATACTCACACACACATATGATAGTTGTTTTTTTTTATATTTAGTCTATATGTAGAAATTATACTTTTTTAAAGAAAACACATAACATACCAACTGTTACTGTGTCCTGTTTATTTGGGACTGTGTATTAGAGCACCCTCAGGAATGATCTGCAGACCTTTTCTTTGTTCCTCCCTCTTTCCTGCCCTGCCTCTGTTCTCCCCTGCTTCTTGGCCTCATTTCTAAAATGATTCAAAAAAGCACAACATTTGAATTCTGGCTTTGGTCGTATCAATACAAGCAGAGAAAGGGAGTAATATATGGAGTTAGTGATAATTATTCAGTAGGTTAGGAGATGTTGATTAATGAAACAGGAAGACTCTAAATCACACTTGATTGATTACCAAAAAAAACTAGAAGAAAATACTAGAGGATAGGAAAATCCAAAGGTAAGAGATTCAATAATCTCTAAATCCATGGTGCCAACCTCACCCACATTACAGAAGACACAAGTGAGGTCCAAAGTTGCATAATTCTATAGACTGAGAAATAGATATTTGGATACATACTTAAGGTGACCTGTAGTTTTATACAAATACGATATTAATAGGTTGGTGTTAAATAATGTTAAATACTCCACAACCCAATTTATTTCAGCATACATTATAAAATACTGCAATTTTTTAGTACTAGTTTTTTTTTTAATTTGGCTTAAATATTAATAAATTCCTGCTATAATGACTTGATAGGGTATTTACTTCTCCACAGTTCATGCATTATTAATTTACTTAGACACTGTCCCAATGTAAAAAGTTTTCTAGATTTCCTCCTAACCCCTTTTAATGAACCAGGGTCTCTATTTTCAGATAAAGACTTTTTCAAAAACGGAATTGTACAGCATGATTTATGTTCAAGGAACACTTGACACACAGAAGTTGCTATGGAATGTGAGATCTCTAACTCTGACCTCTAATACAAACACTCAAAGTCATTTCTCCACAAATCATTTAAAAACCAACTGTAGTGATGAGGTAGAATTTTCATTTCTAGCCTGACAATAAGCATTCCATCACAAGTACATCAGCAATTTAACGCTTTTCAAACATCAGACAGAGCCATCAATTAGAATGTAATGCAGATACAGATATTAACTCCTCACCATGATGGATATGTGCCTGACACCCTTACTACCACTTTTGGACTCATTACACATTTATAAATTCACACTAAATTCTATCTTCCAGGAAGGCAGTATCTGGGTCAAAGACAGATGTACTTGATGTAACAAAATCTAAAGTACTTCGGGAAAATTTCCAAGTAAGTAGGTATGTGATAACATATACAATGAAGCATTTTAACCACTTATTTTGTAAAATAAATTACATATCTTATATATATTTAGAAATCCATTTCTTTAAAATTATATTGCCTTAAGGAAAATAGAATAGCTTTTTGAAAAAAACATAAAAATCTCTGCTCTGGTAGTTTTTGTTTCACTTAAACTCCTCAAAAACAAAACTGAACAATAAACTACTAAATAAATAATAAATAAAACTAAGAACATATTCAATTTTGAGTTAGCACAAATTATCTCATCTGTCCCACAAAGAATATAGTTTTAAAATACCTATGCCCTGTAAGACAAGTAAAGGATATATTACATTTCTTTAATTAGAACTTTCAAATTCCCAAATATAATGGAAATTTTATAAAAAGAAATCTTCAGCAAATGCAGATGTCTTAAACATATAATTATGCCATTCAAACTTTATATATTTTCTGTTACTGATGTACACAATTCATTTAACTAATATTTTAATAATATTTTACAGCTACCCTGAGTAATTTAAAAAATACATGTAATAGATTTTAGAATCTACCATATGAATCTTTCTCTAAAAGAGATTGTACTTGGGTATAGACCAGTCATAGAAAATTTTACATTTCATCAAATAGAAATATCTGTAACATCCTTAAATTCTATATTGTACAATTTGCTTTTTTTTATAAAATGCAACTTTTATGAAAAGTAGAATATATTCTCCATGTTTTCAACATATTTTATTAGCTTAAGTGAGATCCCTTCCTGCCCAGGCCCATACCAAAGGCTAAATTGGTTTTAAACATCTATCTTTTATCTAAACATCCCTTTATAAGAAAAAGAAAACTGAAACAATTTGAACTAAAAGGTATTTTTTTCTAGACTGACAAGCCTAGGTCAATAAAAAATGAACTTGTATTCTGAATATATGATTAGCTTAAAAATACACGGACACTTCTGAATGCTTTCACGTATTTTTACTGGCTGAAACTAAGTAAATTATATAGAAGTAAAGATTAATACTGAAATAGAATGAAATTTCAATATGTAAAATACAATTTCTGGCTGCTACAGGTGTAGCCTTACACAATGTCTTGAAAATAATTTAGATAATACATGCTAAACAAAGGTTTCATTTAGTAAGTTATATGTTACCAATGCCACTTAGAAATGTGATCACAGCTCTATTACTTTTTTATTACATGAATGCCCTGACTTTATCAGTCTCCAAATTAGCAGTCTATAG